CGAAGGATCATAACAACAATAAAATAAATGAGAGCTAGGCTTCCTTCTGGTCGTTATCAACCCCAGTTGCTTTATGTTTTCTTCACTTTTTCTGAACTACTATTAGATGTTTGCCATATGGCCACAAATCAGGGATAGGGGGAGTTGTAGTTCAATATCAATTGGAAGGCTATAAACTCATCCTGTGTGTATTTAAAGAGAGTGATTCCACCATATTTCACATCTGTTCAATCATTTTTGTGTTGCCTGCACTCATGTGTATAGGATTCTTTTTTCAAAAGAAGGGGGTGGAAAATTCTTTTCAGAGTCAGAGGAGGAGAAAGTAAAAGTAAAACTTCAGTCATTTCCCACTGAGCTATTGGATAAAGAAGCTTGAAAATAAGAGGGTGGTGGCAGTTTAGATCACTGCTTCTTCAATGTTCAGATCACAAAAAATGCCACATATTTACACAAATCTGTTAGCAACAACATACAGAAGATTCAGTGGACTCTGCAGAAAATGCTTCAGCTGTACTCCACAAAAAGGAAAACCACTCTGTTTAGCAAGTCTTGCAAATGCTGATTTATTATCAGTAAATGCCTGATTTTTATACTTATTTGACCCATATACCTGGGGTCACGTAAATATTTCTTGAGTAGAAAGTGGTTGCGACTGGACAAAAGTGGAAGAAGCCCAGGTTTAGATGACTTCCAACTATTGCTAAGAAGCAAGGAAAAAGGCCCCTCACCTGCTTTAAATACACTCAAGTAAACCGGCAACTTTTATTTTATCCCTACATAACATATTCCTTCTTGCAGCATGGCAACCCACCCACAAGCCACACTTTATGAGTCACTTTAGCTATTATGTAAAAACAGAAAAGCAAGGAGAATACGCTGTTCTAAGTTCTGGCAGAAAGAGCGTTGGGTTTTACCTCTTTTCTGGATAAAGACTGAAGACCCTTCCATACAGCCAGATAACCCAGAATATAAAGGCAGAAAATCCTACAATATCAGCTTTGAACTGGGTTCAAACCCCAGGTTTCAGCGGTGGCCAGGGGAGCTTTTGAACAGCTAAAACTCGTGCACCAGCTGCACCCGTACCTTGGGAAGTCTGATCTGGCCACGGTGGCCCGAATAGATTACTGCAACGCGCTCTACGTGGGGCTGCCTTTGAAGACGGTTCGGAAACTTCAGCTAGTTCAACGGGCGGCAGCCAGATTACTAACTGGGGTGGCATATAGGGAGCATACCACCCCCCTGTTATGCCAGCTCCACTGGCTGCCGGTCCATCTCCGAGCCCAATTCAAAGTGCTGGTTTTGACCTATAAAGCTCTATACGGTTCTGGCCCAGCTTACTTATCCAAACGCAAGCACTCCTACATCCCACCTCGCAATTTAAGATCATCCGGGGAGGCCCTGCTCTCGCTCCCATCAACAGCACAGATGCATCTGGAGGGGATGAGAGACAGGGCCTTCTTGGCTGTGGCCCCCTGCCTATGGAACACACTCCCAAATGAGGTAAGACCTGCTCCCTCCCTCCTGGCTTTTAGAAAAAAAAATTAAAATCATGGTTTTGAGACTAGGCCTTTGGGCAGTAGAAGTAAATGTATGCAGCATTTCAGAAAGACAATGACTGGAACGGCGATTCGACGGACAAGACTGTTTTATTGTTTTAATGATTGTTTTATTGCTTGTGGATGTGCTGTTTTTAACTTGATTTATGTCTAATTGTAGTGTATAATTGTAATTGTTAATACTGGCATTGAATTTTGCCATTACTTATGTGGTGAGTCCCCACGGGGTGAGAAAAGCGGTATAGAAATACTATAAATAAATAAATCTGAGTCCACACTGCCATATATTCCAGGTCAAAGAAGATCATGTGGGATTTTATTCAGCTGTGTGGAAGGGGCCTGACTCTGGTTTTCATCCTTTATTTTTCTCACCATGCCATCACCCTGTGCACACCCAAATTTTGTCCAATTTTGAAAGCAAGGTTAGGTCTCCTTAGCACCTGGATGCGAGGCCACCTGGGATCTCTAGGTTGGACTAGAAAAAAATCTGTCTAAATCCCAAAACAATAATTGCTGTCTGAAGTTAAAAGGCATCAGCCAGAATTATTTGGCTCAGTATAATGGAACCCATCCATACAAAAGAGGAAGGCAGGTGGATAGCTTGAGTAGTATTAATAAGTTATGCCAGACCAAACCAGCACGATGCCAGACCAAACCAGCACATGGACAGGATAAATCTCTCATCCACTGCCCTAACCAGTGATCAGTGTGGTATCAGTAAGATGCAAAAGGTGTGCCCCAGTTTCCTTACAAGAAGGTTATGCCACCTCACCGTATGCTGTACAGATTTTGACCTAGATATCAAGGGTTAAGGGTTAAGACTGCTGGGAAGGGTTAAGACTGCTGGGAACTTATACTATGGCTGATTCAAAAGCTTAGTGGCATGCCAATAAATGCCTTGTACATTTGCAAACTCTGGGTCCTGGTCCCAAATGGAGTCTCCTTAGCTCAATGTTTGGTTCACGAAAAGAATGTGGCAACAGTAAAAGGTATCTGAATCCCCCCCCCCCAATTTACACAAATATCAGCAGAAAATGCTTTAGCTGTACTCTATAAAAAGGAAAATCTATTTGCAAACTGTTAGACATAAACATTATTATTAAGACAGCACCCTGTATGGATAAAATTAATGTTCTATTTAGAGAAACTCTTACACATACACTACTGTCCTAAATTGGGTCAGGAGGTGGGCAACTGGTGGCCTTCTACACTGTATGTTGTTTGACTGGCACTCCCATCATCCCCCGGCCAGCATAATCACTGGTGGGAGATGATGGGAGCTGCTCACCGACCACATTCAGGCCTTGGGAAAAGGAGGGGAGGAAAAAGTATCTCATCACACTAGAGCAGGGGTCCCCAAACTAAGGCCCGGGGGCCAGAAACGGCCCTCCAAAGTCATTTACCTAGCCCTCGCTCAGGGTCAACCTAAGTGTGAAACTACTTGAAAGCACACAACAACAACAATCACATCTCATCAGCCAAAAGCAGGCCCACACTTCCCATTGAAATACTGTTTATATTTGTTAAAGTTGTTCTTCATTTTAATTATTGTATTGTTTTGAAGTGTTTTTTGCACTACAAATAAGATATGTGCAATGTGCATAGGAATTCATTCATGTTTTTTTTTCAAATTATAATTCGGCCCTTCAACAGTTTGAGAGACTGTGATCTGACCCTCTGTTTTAAAAAGTTTGAGGATCCCTGCATGAGAGCATGGATCCCCTTTAAGCCCGGTTGCTGCCAACCTAGCAGTTCAAAAATATACAAATGTGAGTAATCAATAGGTGGGAAGGTAATGGCACTCCATGCAGTCATGCTGGCCACATGACCTTGGAGGCATCTATGGACAACGCTGGCTTAGAAATGGAGATGAGCACCAACTCCAAGAGTCGGACACGACTGGACTTAATGTCAGGGGAAACCTTTACCTGAGTTCAGGTAAACATTTCAAGCGGAAAGGGGTGGTGAGTGGAAAAGTTTAGGAAGCCTTGCGGGAGAAGATAGTTCAGACCAGAGAGGGTCAAAAGAGAGAAAGCGTCCTCTGGATGGTTGCAGGTTTTTCGGGCTGTCTGGCCATGTTCTAGAAGCATTCTCTCTGATGTTTCACCTACATCTATGGCAAGCATCCTGAGGAGTCCAACTCTGGGGGGTGGTGCTCATCTCCATTTCCAAGCTGAAGAGCCGGCGTTGACCATAGACGCCTCCAAGGTCATGGGGGCCAGCATAGCTGCATGGAGCGCCGTTACTTTCCTGCAGAAGTGGTACCTATTGATCTACTCACATTTGCATGTTTTTGAACAGCTAAGTTCGCAGAAGCTGGGCTAACAGTGTGAGCTCACCCCGCTCCCCGGATTCAAACCGCCAACCTTTGGGTCAGCAAGTTCAGCGGTTCAGTGGTTTACCCCGCTGCGCCACTGGGGGCACCAATAATGATAATAATAATAATAATAATAATAATAATAATAATAATAATATAGTGTTTCTCATGTGTTTCTGCATTGTAATTTTTTTGTAACCTGCCTCAAGTCATGAGAAGAGGCGTGTAAAAAATAAAATTAATATTATATATAGAATATTTTTATATATTATTTAATATATGCTTGCCATAGATGCAGGTGAAACGTCAGGAGAGAATGCTTCTATAACAGGGGCAGACAGCCTGAAAAACTTACAACCACCCTTGCCATAGATGCAGGTGAAACGTCAGGAGAGAATGCTTCTATAACAGGGGCAGACAGCCTGAAAAACCTACAACCACCCTTGCCATAGATGCTGCCGAAACGTCAGGAGAGAATGCTTCTAGAACAGGGCCAGACAGCCCGAAAAACCTTCAACCACCCTTGCCATAGATGCAGGCGAAACGTTAGGAGAAAATGCTTCTAGAACAGGGGCAGACAGCCTGAAAAACCTACAACCACCCTTGCCATAGATGCAGGCGAAACGTCAGGAGAGAATGCTTCTGGAACATGGCCAGACAGCCTGAAAAACCTACAACCACCCTTGCCATAGATGCAGGCGAAACGTCAGGAGAGAATGCTTCTAGAACATGGCCTGACAGCCCGAAAAACGTACAATCACCCAGTCATTCCTGCTATGAAAGCCTTTGAGAATGCCTCCTCTGCCTGCTCCATCCTTTTCAGGGTCTCTGCCAACAGAAAGTTTGGGCTGCCTTCCTGCTTGGCCCTCCTTCTCTCTGAGGTGGGCAGAGAGGGGGCCACCGCTTGCCAGGCCAGAGGGATCCCCGCTTAGAGGAGGAGGAGGAGAGGAGGCAGGCTATTTATAGGCGCGCGTCCGCCTGCGCTCTGGCCAGATATGGCTTCGGCGGCTCCGAGTCCCCGAGGCGCAGCGCTGGGAAGAGGGGCTGCCTGCCTGCCTGGCTGGCTGGGAACACAAGCGAGAGGGACCCGGGCAAGGCTGGAGCCTCCCTCCTCAAGGCTTCCTTACCTGTCTCCGCAGCGGATGGGAAGGAAGGAGAAGGGCGACGCGGCGGAGTGGAAGAGGCGCTTTCCCAAAGTTACAGCGAAGGGCGACGCGGATGCAGCGGGGGGCCTCCCGCCCTTTTCCCCTTCCTTCCCTCCTTCCTTTCGCGGGTGTCACTCAGAAAGGACGCCCGAGTGGACGGCGGACAGGAAGGAGGCCCCCTCCCCCTCCTCGCAGTCCACGCCCACGGAAGAGAGAGAGAGAGAGAGAGAGAGAGTGGGAGAGAGAGAGAGAGGTGGCTCTTCCCAACCAGAGCTGAGAGTTGAGGCTGACAGGGAGGAAGGCAGGAAGAGTCAGCCCTCCTCCTCCTCCTCACATCTCTTCCAAGTCCCTAATAATCATTCTGGCTTTAGAACAGGCAGCAGTTTGAGACAATCAAGGACTAGGTTGTTTTCCAGGCAGTCTGGCCATGTTCTAGAGCAGTGGTTCTCCACCTTCCTAATACCACGACCCCTTAATACAGTTCCTCATGTTGTGGTGACCCCCAACCATAAAATAAGTTGCTACTTCATAGTCATTTTGCTGCTGTTATGAATAGTAATGTAAATATCTGGTATGCAGGATGTATTTTCATTCACTGGACCAAATTTGCCACAAATATCCAACACATCCAAATTTGAATACTAGTGGGATTGGGGAAGGGTATTGATTTTGTCCTGTGGGAGTTGTAGTTGCTGTGATTTATAGTTCACCTACAATCAAAGAGCATTCTGAACTCCACCAACAATGGAATTCAACCAAACTTGGCGCACAGAACTCCCATGACCAACAGAAAATACTGGAAAGGTTTGGTGGGCATTGACCTTGAGTTTTAGAGTTGCAGTTCACCTACATCCAGAGAGCACTGTGGACTCAAGCAATGATGGATCTGGACCAAAATTGGCATGAACGCGGAGCAATGGCTTCAAACTACAAGAGAAGAGATTCCATCTGAACATGAGGAAGAACTTCCTGACTGTGAGAGCCGTTCATCAGTGGAACTCTCTGCCCCGGAGTGTGGTGGAGGCTCCTTCTTTGGAAGCTTTTAAACAGAGGCTGGATGGCCATCTGTCAGGGGTGATTTGAATGCAATATTCCTGCTTCTTGGCAGGGGGTTGGACTGGATGGCCCATGAGGTCTCTTCCTCATGTGAGCCACCCAGAGTCCTCTTTGGGGAGATGGAGGCGGGTTATCAAGATTATTATTATTATTATTATTATTATTATTATTATTATTATTATTATTGCTGTTAGCCTGTTACAGCACTGTACTCGGATAGGATACAAGAGACAGTGATCCAGATTAAAATTATTGCTTTCTACAGGATCCTATATTTCTGCATCAAAGCGCATAGGGTACAAGAGACAGTGATCCAGGTTATAAACATTACTTTCTATGGGATCTTAAGGTTCTGCATCAAGCCATAGGATATAAGAGACAGTGATCTAGGTTTAAACCATTGTTTATCTCAAGCAAGAGCAATTTATTCCTCAAAATAGCGCATATTTTGTTTTATGCTCTATTTGTAATTGCAAATCATGCAATGAAACCTTTGAAAACTTCCCAGATTTTTTTCTTATATATGTATAATCAAATATCTTTGCAGTCAATAGAGATTTTGACTTCAAATCAGTACATTCCCCAAACAAGTCAGGTAAAGAGGTTTCAGCAACTTTTAGCACTGCTTATTGAATCTTTATTTCCTTTCCCTCTGCACTTCTTCCTGTCCTTTAAATATTTTAAAAACATGAAGTAATTTCTACATCCCTGTAACTCCCCATTGTAACCTGTCTAGCTGGATTTTTCCTTCTATTTCACTATCAGCCGTTTCTGAAAAACGCTCCTCTTATAAAGATCTGTTGCTATATATATATATTTTAAATGCTTAGACTTTGCACTGCATTTCCTCCCTGTTTTTTTCCATCCTATTTTCTGATTTTCCAATTGTCTTCCCATTTTTAACATCTTAGCTACATCACCCACGATAGCCTACTCCATCCCATTTTCTCTGAATTAAGTATTTAAAATTTGATTGTGAATCACCTAGTAATAAATTCACTGTATTTGAATCTTGCTTTGGTAACAAATTAAATTAATCTGGTTGCAAGAATAAATTAAATAAATTATTTTAATTAAATTAATTAAAAGGGAATTGCAGCATTTGAATTAATCATACTATTTAATCACTCTGGTGACTTGACTTTCTAATGAATTTTTGTAAATTTCTGCTACCCTCAATCACTGCTTTGGAGGCATGAGGTTAAATTTGCATTGATGCATTTACTGTACTTGAGTTTCAGTCATCATTCTTCCTAGAAATGCCAGGATGGAAGAGCTGCTTTCTGTTCTGTTCTCTTAATTTGTTCCATCACTTGAACATTTTCAGGCATCTTGTCCATCTTACTTATTTACTTAGGCGATCCCTCGTAGTCCAAGGATGATCGTCTTCCAAGTGATGTGCCTTGGCGGCGGATGCGTAGGTGGCTGTGGAGTCCTATTCTTGACCTGCATGTTCTCCCGCAGTGAGGGCATCAGTTTCCAGGTGGAAGGGGGTCTCAGTCGGGGTTGGCTTGATGCGCCTTACTCTTGGCACGTTTCTCTTTTTCGTCCTCCATTCGTGCCTCTTCAAATTCTACAGCACTGCTGGTCACAACTGGTTACCAATTAGAGCGCTCAAGTGCCAGGGCTTCCCAGTTCTCGGTGTCTATTCCACAGTTTTTAAGGCTGGCTTTGAGCCCATATTTGAATCTCTTTTCCTGTCCGCCAACATTCTGTTTCCTGTTCTTGAATTAGGAGTAGAGTAGCTGCTTTGGGAGATGGTCATTGGGCATTCGGACAACGTGGCCGGTCCAGCGGAGTTGATGGCGGAGAACCATCGCTTCAATACTGGTGGTCTTTGCTTCTTCCAGCATGCTGACATTTGTTCATCTGTCTTCCCAAGAGATTTGCAAGATTTTTCGGAATCATTCCAGGAGTTGCATGTGTCCATCATACTGTATTTCACTGCATAGTAGCCACCACTGCATAGTAGTTGCGCCCCTTTCTGGTTCCCCAAATTTTTCCTTTCTTTGTGCAATTGCTGATTCTCTTCCCCAGTGTACTGCTAGCAGATGTAACTGAAAGAGGAGCAGGCAGGCATGTGGGTGAAGCTGTTATTTGTGTAGTGCGGCAAGGAAGTGACGTGAAGATGGAAGCTTGGAGTCTTTCCTGCACTACCTAGACACTACAGCTGTCTTCCTTTGCTGGCTACTAGATGTGTGCAAAAAATTCGGATGAGTTGGGGTTTGTAAGAAAATGGGAAGTTTTCTTAAGTTGGAAGCCATGTGCGAAGCGTTTGTGTGGCCCACACAAAAATGCAAGAATTGAAACTGACTTCGTACTCGGAAGGCTCCCAAAATTTCATTCAGTGCAAAGCAAGAAAGTAAGCATAGTGAAAAAGTCAAAGACTACCTGCCTCCTTTGCCATTCCTTTCCCTCTAAACCAGTGTTTCTCAACCTGGGGGTTCGGGACACCTGGGGGGGGGGGGTTCAAGGGGTTGTCAGAGGGGTCACCAAAGACCATCAGAAGACACAGTATTTTCTGTAGGTCATGGGGGTTCTGTGTGGTCTTGGCCCAATTCTATCATTGGTGGGGTTCAGAATGCTTTTTGATTGTAAGTAAACTATAAATCCCAGCAAGTACAACTTCCAAATGTCAAGGCCTATTTCCCCCAAATTCCACCAGTGTTCATATTTGGGCATATTGAATATTCGTGCCAAGTTTGGTACATATCCATCACTGTTTGAGTCTACAGTGCTCTCTGGATGTAGGTGAACTACAACTCCAAAACTCAAGGTCAATGCCCATCAAACCCTTCCAGTATTTTCTTTTGTTCATGACAATTTTGATTCAATTCCATCGTTGATGGAATTCAGAATGCTTTTTGATTGTAGGTGAACTATAAATCCCAGCAACTACAACTGCCAAATGACAATTAATGGCTTCTCGGCATAAAGACAGGGAGCATTGCATTTTGGGAACAGCACAGAACTTGGGAAATGTAGTTTGGGAAGGTGAGGAGCCCTATGCCAAAGAATTCAGAAAACTCTGCCCTAAATTACATTGCATCAGAATCAGAAAGCACCAATCAGGAGAGGGGAAAGAGATTTGTACCTCCCTAAACAATCAGTTTTTATCAAAACATTTTTAAAAATCCCTAAAATCAGTAGATGTATGAGTATGTCTGAAAGTTGGGGAGAATGATCCCGTTATCTTGTGTCATTGGATAGAAAATTCAAGGAGCTAGCTTTTGTTTATAAAAACTTTGAATATTTGCCAAAAATCCACGAATAAGTGAAACATTATGAAATTTCATGGTCTAACAGTGGTAAATGTGTTCCACCAGTAGCAAGTTTCACCTCGAGAACTTTTAAAATGAGGAATATAGAAGTCCCTGAAGTTTTATGTAATTATGCACATGTGCAGTTTGGGCAGCGAGGAGCCATATGCTGTGTTAAACTACATTTCCCAAAATGCAATGCTCAGCATCAGCCAGCCATTTAGTCAGTCTAATAATAATAAATAAAATTATTGAATCTGCAAGTAGGACTAAAGTAAGTAATAGTACAAATCTGTGCTAAGTTGAAGCTAAGAATGAAGACATTCAAGTGGATTGCTATTGTCAATTTTTTGGGGGACAAATAGTTTTTGTCTAAACTTTTAAATATCCTCAAAAATCTGTCAATGTGCGAATCCTTCTGAAACTTCTGGGGATCGATGCCCTGGTTATTTTGTGCTTTATACATAAAATTCAAGTTGATAGCTCTTGTAGGTTTTTTTTAAATGTTTATAAATACTTGGAAAATTCCCCAAAAATCCAAGGATAAGTGAAACATTTTGAAATTTGGTGGGCTAACAAGTGGTAAATGTGTTCTACCATTGTGGCAAGTTTCACTCCAATAGCTTTAAAAATGAGGGAGAAAGAGCCCCTGAAGTTTCCCCAATTATAGTAATTTAATTATGCACATGGGCACTTACTGGAACAAAATTTCATTGTTCTCATTATTGTAATGATTTTTTCACTAAGTATACTTTAGAAACACTTTAAAACCAAAGCGCCAGCGCCCTTCAGTTTTATAAGTACTTTAATGTATCATACATTCCTACTAGTTACTTTGTATGCAGATTGTCTGTCGGGGTAAGATTTTTTTCATCACATAATAGTTGCACTATTATGTGCACTCTTTCAGCCAAAAAAGGGGGATAAAAAGTGTGACTATTATGCAATGAAATACGATGTACATTTGTATTCCAGTTCCTTACTAATGCTGCTCAATTCGGCCCTGTCTCGTTGTGGAATGTCCATTCTCAACATGACGACTTGAATCAGCATCAGACTATTTCTGTTTTTACTGAGCTTCAGACCACTTCTAAGAGGGTAATTCTGCTGTCTTTACTTCTGCCCCCTTTTCACTTTTTTTACCTTTATTTTTCGGCTGCACAGCCAATCTTCCTTTGTTCCATAGCTTGTGTTTCAGACTTTATGAAAGAGGCTTGTGAAGAATTCTCAGAATTATAAATATTATTTCTAATATTATTTCATTATTCATCTCAGAGGTCTGCATCCATCTGGGCATGATCCATATTTTTATTTTTCTCAGCTGTATACTATTGGGAAGCAGTCAGCAATGCCAGATTCCCTATCCACATCATCCATGCATTGTTTTGAACCTGAGGAGACACTCCCACAGAAATCTCTTCCTCAAATCATATCTTTTTTTGGGCATTCTCCATAGTAAATAGTGCTTAAATTAAGTAATATTGGTGAAGGCAAAACGGCATGTAGCCAGCAAGGCAAGAAATTAAAAAAAATTAGGTGAAGGCAAATGAGGCAACTGAATTAATGACAAAGAATAATGGGTTCCAAACTCCTGCTTTGTGAGTTAGCATATTGAAAATAGTCCAATTTTGAAGATTGGTCTCTCCAGTATCTATTGAATAATACTCCTGGCTTCTCGTGGCCGGAACCGAGCACAAGCCTCCAAGATACTGAAATGGGAAAAGCCTATATATACCTCCTTTTATGTACAATTGTCTGCCTTGTCTGCATAAAACTGCATTGAATGTCTGTCGTATATGTATGTTCTGTGTTCTGCCCTGAGTCCCTTTCGAGGTGAGAAGGGCGGAATATAAATACTGTAAATAAATAAATAATGTAACTCAATGCTATCTGGTCTTGAGAGACAGTAGCTTCTTCGATGTTTCTTTCAGGATTATTCTTTGGGTCTTTAATGGGAAATAAACACACAGGAAGGCCATCAGAGTCCAGATAATGTTTCCCTGAGAGCTACATCTAGACTGCACGCCAACAACCAAATTACCTTGAAATAATTTTTAATCTGAAGAAGAATGAAAAGGGTTCCAACAAAGTAAATTAACAGAAATATTTATTTTTATAGACAACATTCTAGTATTAAACAGTGCAAAATCAGATGTAAACCAAAAGTTTTAGTCACAGCTATATTAACATTCGTATTCTTATTGCTAAACTTACTGAACTTTGAAAAACCAATTAACTTGTCTTGGAAATCTCCATACAATACTGAGTCATAATATCATGAATCCATATATCTGTCTCAGGTAGTGATGTGTCGACTAAATAAACAACAGCTTTTCGGTCCCATGAATTAGGTGCATCAATAATCGCTTGCACCTGTGCCACCAGAGGTTTCTTCTCAATGTGATTTCGGAAGACTATTGAGGCCTCCTCTGACCACTGCTGGCATTCAACGCCTAGGGAAAAGCGTTACAGAAACAAGTTCAATGCAACCATAAACACTGCAAGAAGATATTGCAAATCTTTGGATACCATCTAACTAGCTATTTACTTTAAAGCCCATTAACATAAGTCTATGTGATCAGCTGCACATGAAAATCTGGCCCTGATAGCACTTCATTATTCTGCTATATGACAGTACTTCATCATTTATTCTGAGAAGTCTTAAAGCTCATGGAAAATTAGTATCATGAGAAACGTACATGAACGAACACAATAGAGAACACAAAAGCGTGATCCCGGACGTCTTGACATGCTTATAATATCCCAGTTCCCCTTATGTGTGTGTGTAGTGCTCAGACAATTCCCTCACAACAACAAAAACAATTTAATATGAGATGTAGTTTGATGAGTGCAATGGACCAGTCAAGAAACAAGCATTTTCACCTTCTAGTAAAAGTAAAGGTTTTCCCTGATGTTAAGTCTAGTCGTGTCCGACTCTGGGAGGTGGTACTCATCTCCATTTCTAAGCCGAAGAGCAAGCATTGTCGATAGACTCCTCCAAGGTCATGTGGCCGACAGGACTGCATGGAGCACTGTTACCTTCCCACCGAAGTGATACCTATTGATCTACTCACATTTGCATGTTTTCGTACTGCTATGCTGGCAGAAGCTGGAGCTCACTCCACTCCCCACATATGCAACGCTGACCTTTCAGTCAGCAAGTTCAGCAGCTCAGCCCATTGTGTTATCTGGTCTTTAGTGACTTACATAAAGAGTTTGGGCTTTGTTTATCCTCGACCTAACAGCAAGACAAGATTATGAGGTATCCTGGATGCTACTATTTCAAACTGAATTTTTATTTTGGAAGGGTGTGGCAATGCATGCAAAGTTTGAACAGCTTTTAGGGGAAATTCCTACGCACAAGAAGCTGAATGGATCAGCAAGAATTCTAGCCTAGGCTAGTGATGTAATAGTATACAGGGCAATGTTCTGTCCTTTGTTTCCTACCCTGTATACACGAGTGTATTGACACGGTAATGTCTAGTACATGACACTGTCTAGTACATGACACTGAAAGACGCTGGTTTTATAAAATAGGTTTTTATAGTTTTAATGGCTCTTATATGTATTTATCATGTGATTTAACTGCTTTTAACAGGCATCTAATTGTTGCTAGTCTGTACGCTGCCCTGAGTCGCCCTCGGGTTGAAATGGGTGGGATAGAAATGATGTAAATAAATAATAATAAAAAATATCAACACAATAACCATAAACAGCTTGCATTCTCTGATGAATTTCCTTTAGGGTGACACCTTCTTCTGTCAAGAATTCAATGAATGCACATTGCTTAAGTTGCATTGACTAACCGTCTGCGCAGGGTTCCATACTTTGCACTTTAACAACACAACCGTTCAATGCTAAGGCTTCCTGACAAAATGGAACTGTAGAGGAGAGTCTACTGAACAAGCCAGTACCTGCCGCATACCAGTACTGCCATCTGTTAGGGAGTTACGAAGGTGGAGGTATTACTTTTCATTCAACCCTCGTACCTGTGAAATATCCAGGGTGGGAGAAAGAATCCTTGTCTGTTTGAAGCAAGTGTGCATGTTGCAATTAGCAAGGTTGAATAGTACAGAGTAGCTATGAAGCTACAAAATCAATCAGTGAGGGTATCTGCATGAGGCAGCCTTGCCTCTATTTATTTATCGTGTCATCAGCAACCAGACATTTGCCTTGCCTCTGATGCCTGAAGACATCCTCTGTTTTGGGAGGTGTTAAATGGTACTTGATTGTTTACTATCTGGAGTTCCCATTTCTGAGTGGTGTGTCTTGATTCTGGTGTTTTTTTTAATACTGGTAACCAGATTTTGTTCATTTTCTCCTTTCAATGGTTTGAAGTTACAGGAGGGTAGATCTGAGCATTACAGGAGGGTAGAGTTGAGTATCATCCTGACAGTATGAGAAGTTTGACAACAGAACCAGTAGTTTACAGAGGTTTCTTCCTTTGGACAACTTTAAAAAACAGGCTGTACAGCTACTATCTGGGGATGTTTTAGTGAGAGATCCTGTACTGAGCAGATGGTTGGACCAGATGGTCTCTGAGATCCCTTCCAACTCTTATGATTCCATGACTCTGATTTCAACTGTCTACATTTATGTGTATATTTATAGTTATCTTAAATTTTAACAAACCACTTTATTTTTAAAAGGAATAAAAATACACTAAACATGCAGTAGTGCTCCAGCAGCAACAACAATAAAATAACACAACAATTGTTCTTTTATTTGCTAGCAGAAATAGGTAAGGAGCAAGCTTTGGCCCCCCTATTCCCCCTTTGAAGTTTCACCACTTCACTTGGATCTTCGCTTGTATCCCCACCAAATGTTTCTTTCGGGATCGCAAGACCAAGGAAAGGGCCTCCTCTGAAGATCTCAAAGCACAGACAGGGTTACATGGGAGGAAGAATATGGTCCTTTGGTCAGTCTGGATCTACGAAGTATTTTCTCCAAGCCCTCCAATGACAAGTTCTGCACCAGCTAGCTTTCAATTTACTACAGTTACAGTGAAGTTCCTTCATGTAACATACTAGGAATTTAGATACTGCATAAAGACTTGAGAGTAAAGTCATGGGCATAATCACAATGTTTTTCTTCCCAAACAATGAAGCTCCCGGTGGCACAATGGATCAAACCTTTGTGCTGGTAGGACTGCTGACCAACAGAGGTTTGAATCCGGGGAGAGTGGGTTGAGCTCCCTCTGTCAGCTCCAGCTCCCCATGTGGGGACATGAGAGAAGCCTCCCACAAGGATGGTAAAACACCAAAGATACGGGCGTCCGCTGGGCAACGTCCTTGCAGATGGCCAATTCTCTCACACCAGAAGTGACTTGCAGTTTCTCAAGTCACTCCTGATATGAAAAAAAACCGCAAACAATAATCTCATGGTAAGTAAAATGGCTGGCTGTATCATCTCCAAGGTTTCAAAGAAGAGGCAACAATAAATTCTTACAATAGCATGTTCACTAGTATGGAGCAGATGTCCTGCTGAAGTACATCTTCAATGAGGAGAAAAAATTCATTTTGTGATAAAATATTACAGTATTTATGTTTCACAGCAGACGGTGAGAGTGAATTCAAATGGTGAACTCTCTAGGTTCACTGAACTAAGCATGTCTAACTGTAAGTTTCATTTATATTTATTTGTTATTATCTCCACGTGCTTCATTTAAATAATCCAGAATGAATCACCTACCTGCAAGCTGGGCTGTTATAGCCTGAAATGGTAATTTTCTGAATATGTTCAACAGAGGTCTCATATTTTGCATGCCGACAAGCTCATGTTTCCCATAATCTAGCTCATATACTGACACCAGTCCATTCGCCAATATTCCTTTTATTAGCACTCTAAGCCACCTAAGAGAGGACGAACACAAATGCAGTATTTTCAATCTTAAGGATAGGATCTTCTGGATGCCCCATGTTAGCCACTGCACTTTTTCCAGAGTGATGTAATGGAAGGCAAACAAAAATCTGATGATCTAAACAGCCTCTTTCGCCATTGATTTTCCTCTTCTATGGGCACTGTGTCCACAGTCCTTTTAATCCTTCCATCACCAAAAGACTGCAATGCACCAATAGCACTCCAGTCCAAGTATCTAGCAATTGGGATCAATTCTGATTACTATTACTTGCTGTTGAATAACTTTTAAAATTAACAACCAATGAACAGTTTCTATGGTGGTTTCCATCATTCTGCCTTCTAACAGTGGCTAATCCATCTTAGAATATGTTCTTTTTAAAATTATTATTATATTATTTTATTTTATTGATACATCCATTGAGTTAACAAACTTTTGACATACAGGTCTTATCTCAATGGACACTGCTCCAAAAGTCACTTTACGGTCCGCTCTTGTTACATCCCAAATAGACTACTGCAATGTGCTCTACGTAGGCTTGCCTTTGAAAACTGTTCAGAAGCTTCAAGCAGCCAGATTCCTCATCGGAGCAGCGTACAAGGAGCATACAACTCCCCTGTTACATCAGTTCCACTGGCCGCCAGCCTGGTACTGAGCACAATTCAAAGTGCTGGCTTTAGCCTATAAAATCCTAACCAGTTCTGGCCCAGCTTATGTGTCCGAATGTATCTCCCTCTACGAGTCTCCTCGTAGGTTAAGATCCTCTGGGGAGGCCCTGCTCTTGGTCCCACCTCCTTTGCAGATGCGACTGGTGGAGACGAGAAACAAGGCCTTCTCAGTGGTGGCCCCTCAGCTCTGGAACCCCCTTCCCAGTGAAGTTAGTCAGCTCCCTCCCTCCTGACACTTAGAAAGAAATTAAAATGTGGATGTGGTATCAAGCCTTTGAACAATAAATCAGTGCAATAAGTAGATATGGAATAAGTGCACTTACAACTGGAATGGCTCTTGGACTATGATTTTGGATAGTGTGGTTTTAATGTTTAGATGTTTTTAACTTCTTGGTTTTTAATGTACATGCTTTTATGTCGATGTCTGTTTACGCCTCATCAAATTTTCTGAATCCCATCTTGTATTGTCTCTATATCCTCGGGATATTGTAGCCTGTACCGCAGCTATCATATATTTTAGGATTTCTGTCCATTCATTGTTATCTTCCTTTGCCTCTATAGTGAGAGACATGAATATAGCTTTATCCCACTTTACTTTTTGCCCTATTATTTCATCCACTGCATTTCTGATTTTACTGAAATAGTTCTGAATTTTTCTGCAATCCCACCACATGTGAGAGAATGAACCTATCCCCTCACAATCATACCAACATTTGCTGGAAATATTTCTTATTATATGTGCTAATTGAAGGGGTGTGTGTGTGTGTGTGTGTGTGTTTCTAGACCATTTGGAAATAATTTTCTGTTGAGTTTATTTGATCCTAATATGTTTAATTTTCTGAATATTGTTGCTCTAAGACCTGATTAATTTCTTGCTAAAGTTTTTTTCTTGTTTCCAACTCTCTAAAAGGGTGGTTTTTGTGTTGTAAGATAAGGTGATTAATTCCTTATACATTAACCCAATAATTCCTTTCTCTTTTTCTACTTCCTCTTTAATTATTGTGTCTAGTGGGGCTTCTGCTACCTCTCTTCTTTTCATGGCCTGAGCTCTACAGGACAGCCCTTACTACGCTATGCAGTCCTTTGTCCATCTTTATCTTTTATTATTAGGTTCCACGAGGTCCCCTAACCTTTTAATACCATTTTCTTTCAGGGCCCTTATGAGGTTCCTGAATGTCTTGTCCTTATTTTTCAAGGTTTCTAATGAAAAATGATCAATATTATTTATTTGTAATTTATTTTGCCATTTTTTTTTCCAAATCAGCAACACTGATAATCAGGAGCCAATCTTTAAGTTCTTTAAGTCTTTTTCATCTATTCTCGTCCCCCTTTTCCAACTATTTGCTTCCATATCTATTTGCATCCATCTTTTGGACCCTTGCAGTTCAAATTCTAATAACCTAGCTAATTGACTTGCTTCATAGTATATTTCCAAAGCATACGTTCAAGCAAGGATTTTTTAATTCAAAAATTATAGTGTCTTGACTTCCCAACTATTGTACCAGGACACTTCAGCTTCTTTAGTGAGAGAGAAAAGCCTTTACCTGTGCTTATGTATTGTCTGTTCTTGTTAATTGTATAATGGCATTAGATGTTTGCCGTTTATGTGTTCTGTACTTTGCCTTGAGTCCCCTCGGGGAGATAGAGCAGAATAGAAATTAAGTCTATTATTATTATTATTATTATTATTATTATATTATTTTTCTTCTTACTGGAAATGAAATTATAGAAAGAAAGCTCTATATTTCTGTTAACATGGATGTACTGGAAGTTCCTTTTATGTATTCAAAAACCAATAGTTTAAAGACATAAAACATTTGTGCACAGTTGTTTTCTTAAAAAAAATTAAGATCCCAAGAGGGAACAACAAAACAAAATAGCAAAGGAAAGCATTGGCAAAATGAGAATGAAAGAAAGCATCAACTATTTCAATTGAAGTAAACTGGTGTTGAGATAGCAGGAAGCATAGATGTTTAACCTTGAAAGCTTGACTGGTATTTCCGTGCCCAGGTGCAGATCCCATATGTCAAGCATCAGTGGCAAGCAAGGATGTTACTTACTACATTTGTGCCTTGCCTATGAGATGTGGATGTGGGATCCAATTCTGGGCACCACAATTCAAGAGAGATATTGACAAGCTGGAATGTGTCCAGAGGAGAGCGACTAAACTGATAAAGGGTCTGGAGAACAAGCCCTATGAGGAGCGGCTTAAGGAGCTGGGCATGTTTAGCCTGAAGAAGAGAAGGCTGAGAGGAGATATGATAGCCATGTATAAATATGTGAGAGGAAGCCACAGGGAGGAGGGAGCAAGCTTGTTTTCTGCTTCCCTGGAGACTAGGACGCAGAACAATGGCTTCAAACTACAAGAGAGGAGATTCCATCTGAACATGAGGAAGAACTTCCTGACTGTGAGAGCCGTTCAGCAGTGGAACTCTCTGCCCCGGAGTGTGGTGGAGGCTCCTTCTTTGGAAGCTCTTTAAAACAGAGGCTGGATGGCCATCTGTCAGGGGTGATTTGAATGCAATATTCCTGCTTCTTGGCAGGGGGTTGGACTGGATGGCCCATGAGGTCTCTTCCAACTCTTTGATTCTATGATTTCCATAAATATCAAGCAACCGATAATGGAAAAGATGTACATATGGTCTGATCTAGTGTAATTGCTAAGGATCTTAAGTTACACAGGGATCCTGACTAAGTTATTTGTGCCTTAGCGCCATTGATTCAACTGTGGCTAAAGGACCACAAACATGATCTGGAACAGAAGCACAGAAGTATTTCTGCTATACAGTGTATTGCACTTAGGAGTGCTACTTACTTATTTTTCACTTTAGCAGCATAGAGTTTGTTTTTTTCAACAGAAATCGCTCCCTCATCTGATGCACTATAATGCAGAAGCATCTCTTCCACCAATACTTCCAAATTGTGCATCTCTTGCCAGGGTTGGAGGACAAAGTAACCTGGATGGCAAGCCAGTGAAACAAAAACATCCATCTGCTCCTGGGGTTGGGCCAGTGGCAAAGGCGGTGGCATAGTCAAGGCTGTCCCAACGCTGCTGGTCTCTGGTGTACTTGGGACTGAATCTATGACGCTGCTCCTGATCTCCAAACTCGGCAGCTTTGGTAAGTCTGCATCCCCCTGGCCTGGGAAGTTCCTTGGTTTCACACTCAGGAAGACATCCTTCTGATGCTTCCACAAGTCTGCACTCATGATCTGCCTGTTTATACTGCGGTCTGGGTCTGGGAAGTTCGCCGGTGTAAATAAATATACATGTGCAATTCTATCATCCAGTTTAACCACCTTAAGGGAGGAGAGAATATCAAATATATAAATTTCTACGGAGATAAATTCATTAACTGAAAACAAACTACCATGCATGTTTATGAGTCATTCATCAGTGAAAAGAGCATAATAGTACTGTATTAATTGACGGGTAAAGTAAAGGTAAAGGTTTCCCCTAACATTAAGTCTAGTCGTGTCTGACTCTGGGGGTTGGTGTTCATTTCCATTTCTAAGCTGTTGAGCGGGCATTGTCCATAGACAGCATGACTGCATGGAGTGTCATTACCTTCCCGCTGGAGTGGTACCTATTCAGTGACTCACATTTGCACGTTTTCAAACTGCTAGATTGGCAGAAGCTGGGGCTAAGAACGGGAGGTCACCCAGCTTCCCGGATTTGAACTGCCAACCTTTTAATCAGCAAGTTCAGCAGATCAGCGCTTTAACCTGCTGCACCACTAGGGGGCCCTAACTGGTAAATAATAAATTGACTGGTAAATAATAAAAATAGTAATACATAAAAACTTTTTTAATATTCTGCCCAATCTCCCTGAGGGGACTCAGGGCGGATAGCCAATTTGCACAAAGGTAAATATACAGAACTATTCCAAAATGCCCCAACTAGAGTTGAATCAACGGTAAACTAATTTAATAACTGACCTAATAGTATATATAGTATATAATAATTATTTCTCGCCTGTCCTTGTGGCTTGAGGCAGTGTACAACAAGGTTAAAACAGTAAGATAAAACAAAATACTATTAAAATACACATAACAAGTATACACAGATAAAATACAGATTAAAACTTTAACCTTGCACTTCTTTTTGTCATTCCCCACAATATCCCAACCTCAAATAGAGCTGAGGTCATCTAGAACCTAGTTAGGTAAAATTCAGTTCTCTTTGCTTAGCTACTGCTCTTAGCAAAGCTTGCGAGGAGATAAGAATAATATATTTAAAAATAATTCACACCAAATTAGCCTATAAATCTGATCTTAGTGATCTATTGGAAGCAGAGGTTAGATTCCCATTTCCCCACACCATTTAGCAATGGACCTGTCAAGGGCTGGGCTAGATGTCTTTCGGGGTATCTCCCCACTTTGTGGTCCTGCATTGGGGACCCAATTATCCATCGGTCTTGTTTTTACAGACCAGTCAAAAGGATGAGCTTTTTAGGAAAGTCAAATCTAAGATCCACTCCCAAGTCCTCGTCAGAAAGCATTTATGTCTGCACTGGAGAGAACATTTTGGAACTGAGTCTTGTTCACTGGGTGACCCTTATGGTCTTTTCCAATTCTATGATTCTATGTCTGGTAAAGTCAATTTGAACAAGAGCAAATATAAATATAGGCTTGCACTTGAATATCCCAACTACAATAGACCTGTTGAATCAATGGGGATTTGAGAACGAGATTCCACCTGAACATTAGGAAGAACTTCCTGACTGTGAGAGCTGTTCAGCAGTGGAACTCTCTGTGGTGGAGGCTCCTTCTTTGGAGACTTTTAAACAGGCTGGATAGTCATCTGCCAGGAGTGATTTGAATGTAATTTTCCTGTTCTTGGCAGGGGGTTGGACTGCATGGCCCACGAGGTCACTTCCAACTCTATGAGTCTATGATTCTAAGAACACTTACATAAGGCTATCCATTGATTCAATGGGTATTGCAACTCAATTATATTTAAGCCTTTATTGCTCACCGTGTTTCTTGTGTACCCCTACGATTCAAGCAGTACTGGTATAGATAAACATTTATAATCAAACTGAAGTGTTGCTGTTGAATGTAAGAACATGAACAGCTTGGCACTGGGCTATCACCTTATATGTCGTGTGTATTACAGTCCATTTTTCTAAGATCTTTGAGGCCCTTCTAGTTACATTATGTGTAAAGAAGACAAATCTTGTGAATGCTTAAAAGAATAATGTGACTGCCCATATTGTGGTATTTCAACAGTTAGTAATGGTTCATCAAATTCATGCCCACCTTTACAGAACTATGTATACCTTGTGGTATGTTTTATTTTTGATTTTTACTCTATTGGTTTAATCTTGGGAGTTATAACTAATACTGCTTTTAATTCAGCTTTAATTTACAAACAGTTTTTCAGGAGCACCATACTTGGAATATTAAACTATCAGCATCCAGATTTTTACCTTTATACTGCAGTCTGAACAGTTTAATACAGTATCTCTTAGCCAAAGTACAGCATCTGGGGTCCACATGCTAATATTAAGGGGAAGGTCAGCCAAACAGCATTTTATTGCCTGAAATGAATAATTACATAAGATAATTATAGTGATATTCAGACTGTATTGAAATACACATGGCAGCAGCAACAATGAAAATAGGTTTCTTGAAACAATCTGGAATAGTAGTAATTACTTCAAGATTCTCATACCTGAGGTGGGATTGCAACGACTTCACGCAGAAATGCTGAGGGAACTTCCCTGAGCTCCACCACTTTTACAGATGCTACTGTTCCAGTGTCCATAAACTGTACATCAAGAGCCCGGGTACTATGGACACTTGTTATCTGTTTGCATGGAATAAAAAACCCCATGAAAACAGCACAATGACATTCAACATACACATAAAAGAAAAAAAAAAATGGGTGTTTTGGCTTTTAATTCCACCTTTCACTAAAAATAACACTGCTCAAGACAACAAGTGACATCCCCAAAGAGAAATAAAACAACAAAACGAGTAAAAACAAAGCCACTAAAATAAATAACAGTGTTAAAAGATCTGTTTAAATAGATGTAGCCTATCTTTCCTAGGAACAATGAGAGCAAAAATTGCTCACAGTTGTGATGGGAATGGATTATAGAATCTGAAAGAAACTCTCTCCCATGTGCTGTTGACGTAGTCCTGTGTAATGGCACCATTCTCCAAAAGGCCTTGTCCTGAAAGTTTTAACATGTGGACAGGTTCACAAGAGAACAAGCTGTCCCTTAAGACAGTCAGTCCTCAAGATGTGAAGGTTACATTTGGCTCACAAAGTAACTGCGGAATTAAGGTTAACCAGTGTGAAGCCATGACTCCTCAGATGGTTTCAAGACAGAGAAAAGTTGATTTTATTATACTGAAAAATTCAGTATATTGCCAAACAAATCACTTTAAGCACTTATTCACATCATCAAAAGTGAGTTCAATCAAGGGGTGTGTGCTAGGTCTACTTCCCTCCATTACTTTCTGAAGAGAAGGAACCCTTATGTACATTGAGAGTCATTACATGATCTAATGTAGAAATTTTTGGCTTGTTTGGAAACCCTCCACATGTAGAAAAAGGCTTTTCTTTCATGTGATAAAATATTATGATGGATGACAAAGGGTTAGCATACTTCCTTCCCTGCGTGGTGCTTTAATTTTGTTTTGAACACCTAAACAGGATTTTACAAAATGTGCAATAAAAACTGGTGATTGGAACCCTTTTGGTGGTATATATATTTTTTAAAGGATGCACATTTCCTACCTGCACACGTGCCCATTTTCCTTTGCAATTAAGCAAACAAATCATGCCACAGAAAGGAAGTGACACTGAATACTCCGTTGCACACTGAAACAAAGAGATGAAATATAATTAAGTAGTCACAACCACTACAAACGGGATAAGGGGTTCCTTATGAGCTAAAGATCAAGCTGCTATGAGGCAAAACACAGGTAACACTTCCTGCAAAAAAAAAAAAAGGTTTTCAATTTTTTTCTCCTACATACTACAAATTACACACAGAAACACTGGTGAAATATTCTGATTTTTTCAACCAGAGCAATAACAATTCATGATTCTTAGCAAACCAGGAATGTATAATTTATTTACAGCATTTATATTCTGCCCTTCTCACCCTGAAGGGGACTCAGGGTGAATCACAGAACACATAGACGGCAATCATTCAATTCTGATTATATAATGACAAGACAGACAACAGATAGAGGTAAATATATATAGGCTTTCCCATGTTTTGGCATCTTTGGAGGCTGTGCTCAGTTCTGGCCACAGGAGGGTGCTGTTGCTCCATCTCCTTGTCAAAGAGCTTTTCTTTGTTTGTAAACTTTCTTCTTTCTTTCTAAACGTCATGCCTAAAGTATCTCCCTGCTTTTAATGTGGTTCCTATTTATCTACTCATACATTTGTTTTCGAACTGCTAGGTTGGCAGAAGCTGGGCTGAAAGGTTAGGCGCTCAGCCTGACCTGGGCTTCGAACTATCAACCTTTCGGTTGGGAAGATTTATTGCAGCTTGGTGACTGACCTGCTGTGCTAAAACCCAGAACTATGATAAATATATTGGGCTTCTAAAATGTATATGGACAACATGATCAACAAGCAAAATTTGGTCCCATACTCATTTCTGTAGACCTTAGAACCACTTGCATTTATAAATAGTTGTTTTATTCGAATCAGCAGGAATAAATGACCAATAAAATTGATGTTTCTTATTTCAGATGTTAGCATAACAGCTTTGAGTCTCTAAACCCTGTGAAGGTACAGCAATCAAACAATATTAAAACAAGCTCACCTTATTGTGAAAATAGTTTTCCATTTTCTGCAAAACCTCAGAGAGCTTGGTCAGGCCCTTTGATGGCACTTGGCAGTATAAAGTTCCATCTGAACAAACATTGGTTACTCGGACATTTGTATAGAGGGCATCGACCTATTAAAATGAAGCACATATGGTGGGGAGTAAATACTAATAGTTCTGCAAATTAAGTATACTTGACTGATCATAATGGTTTGATATTAAAGGTAATATCAACAGATGAAAATCGTACCTGAAGATGAAGCTCAAGAGATTTATCGCATAATGCCTTCAAGCAAGCAGCATTGATATTGACGTCATCCTCTCCAGAAGTATCGTATAGGACGAAAAGAGGAACATCACTCTTCTCAAGTATTTCAACAGCAAATATCTTTCCACAAGTTTGAGACTCCACCATCTTCACCAAAGCTACATCATCACAAAAGGCTTCTAACCCTACAGAAAGAACAGAAGAAAGCAGAAACCAGTGATACAAGTTTCTTGTATCACTTGTGTTTGTTTGGGTCACCAGGATTTAACATAAGATCATGTCAGAACTAGGAGAGTTCTAATGTTTGCAAATCCAACATCTCTCCATGATTACGTTGTCATTTAATACAGTACTGTACTTCTTAAGCTATCTATGGAGGGTAGTATTTTTCCCAAATGTACCAGGGATCAGTAGTTTATTTGTGACCAAACAATAACTGATTCCTTCTTTCCTGGGATACTGTAAAAGGACTGGTAGTTAGTCGTGGCTTGTGGACTTGCACAACAAAAAGTTAGCTTATGCCACTCCTACAGACCTCAAGGAGTGGCCGTTCCATGCTCCAATTGCTGGGGGGAGGGTCCCATAAGCCTAAAACCACATACTCGAACTTGGCTGTTCTAAACAAGTCATTAAGTCCTTCTTCACACCATCCCACCGCAGCATCAGAACAACATACATACATAACACCTCTTTTGTTTCAATAAAATAGGTCGACACCCTTTCCACAACTATGCCCAACAAACAAAACAATCTCTCTTAAGACACAAAGAACAGACTCAAACTCCATCAGCTAGTGACTGTGGTCTCATCATTTTTCTGTGGTTTTTGTGAAAAATGTCTATCCCAATGTTGTTTACTGCCCCGTTTGTTTGCAATTTTTTTTTAAATTCACTACTGAAAAATAATATCTAGATCACAGCTTCTTAAACTGTGGATTCCAACCTCAGATGGGGCCCACTTAGCTCAATGTTGGGGTCTCAAAAATTGGCAATAGTAAAAAGTTGCTGATAGCCACTGAATGGCTATTTTTAGAAATTTACAAAAATTGATTGGGCAGTGTTTACAGTGAACTCTGCAGAAAATGTTTCAGCCGTACTTCTTAAAAGGGAAATCAGGCTACTTAGCAAACCCTTCAAATGCTAATTTGTTAGCAGTAAATGTTTGATTTTTATACCTATTTTATATAACTCGTATATCTGAGGGTTGCATAAAAAAGGGGTCTTGAGTGGAGAAAGCTGAAGAAGCCCTGATCTAGATGAGACTTTTTTAAAATTAAACAAGAGACTTTCACAAAAGTAATCTGTTTTTCTACTGGAAAATAAGAAGCAAAGAAATCATGGATGACATCACCATTGGGCTACTACGCTCCTCTCTCTTCATTGTCAGCAATAATGTGGCCTTGCCAGGCAGGATCTTGGACAGTCTCACCTTATCATTTGTGGGTTAAAGTACAGCCCTTTCCCCCCTCCTACTCTGATGCTATATAGTATTTTACTCTCCTGGGGATAAAAAGATGAATTTCTTACCTGCTAGTTTGCACTTTGAGGCCTGGAATGGCAGTGAATAGAATTGCTTGGCAAGTTTGTACACTCTAGTATTTTCAATGATTTCACTAAAACCATAATCCACGTAGTATACCTAAAATAAAAAGAATACAGAGAAAAGTTGCAATTGTTGCTACTCGAGGTTTACAACAGGCTTTTTCTAAGTAACAGAGAGGATCAGAACCTTTTCTGTTACAGCTGCCACAAGTTAGTTGGGTGTATATCTGCATATAACAAGGCACTAGGTTAGCAACCTTCTTAGCAACCATTTGGCTTAGCTTGATGGCTCGTTTGAGCTAGAGAGAAGAAAACTTTCAGCTTTGGCATTGCTTTCTCTTCTACCATCAGATAATAACATCATCCAAGAAACCTTTGGCTGTTGCTGGGAGCCGTTACACAGCGTCCTGAAGCTAAAGACTGAAGCCGTTTGGAGTGCCAAAGAAACTGCTTGTTTATGGCAAAACAAGGACATTCTACTGATAACTAAGTAGAGAGACTGTATTGTTTTACTATGTGTTTCCATATCATCATGTAAAGAAGAAGACTCACCAGAGATATTGTTTGCTGTATATAGGTGAGAATAATTCTTCTGTTTTGCTTTGTGTTTTTGATCTACACTGAATAGAACTATATTTTTTGTTTCTACTTAAAGCAACAGACTTATGTATATTTTTTAAAAAGTTTTTATCACAAAGAGTAAAAGGGATTGAGACTTTCTGCTGGCTACTAACACTATTCTGACAGCAATTAGCTTTTACCCAGTGTTCATAATACTTATGTTAAAAATATAATTCCTTTTCACTTTATACATCTGGTATTATCCAGACAAGTTGGACATTGCTAAGATCATATCAAATAACATATCATATCAAATTATCCAGACAAGTTGGACATTGCTAAGATCATATCAAATAACACAAGCTGGAAATTATATGACTTGAAGTCCAGCACAACTGGAAGTTACTAGGTTATGGAAAGCTACTTAATCCATACTTTGCTACAACTAGCTAGGTTTTCAGGCTCAAATTTAGCTTCCTTCAATAATCAGCCAGAGAGTTAAACATAAGCAAACACAGTGGGTTTTAGTTTTGTATTTAGAAGATCTTGAGCCTCTATTTGTCCCAACTCAAGCACGGCCCTTCTGCTTTCCGTGACTAAATCCTCACCTACACATACACACAGGCCACTATTCTCCATTTCATATAAGCAATTTTATCCTACCTTTCTACTTCCAAAACAGTAAGGGAAAATAAATATAAAACCAGTGGCAACATCAAATGTTACCACCATAAAAACAGATTAACAGAAACCTGTTTAACTTGCCTTTATTCTACTGCCTTGTATTGAAACAACCTGTGCCCGCAGCCAAGCATCTTCTTCCGCTGGCACAGCAACTAGTTGACCAACTGCAGGTAGCCTTCTCTGTGAAGTGGAGGCATTTTGACTGTACCAATTTTTCATCTTGTCTTCCATTATCTCCTGAGCAGCAGAATAGTCTTTCCCCACATATCTATGCAATTTTGAGTGGAGACAGAATTAGTATAAATGAGTGGCAACTAAAGCTGAACAGGACAAAAGCATTACCATACTCAAATCATTATCTAATCCATTACTATATGTGAGGAGAGGCAAAAAGGATTAGTATCAATGTGAAACATAAGTAGATGTAGGGGAAGGTTGCAATCAGACACAGTAAGACTGTGGAATATGATTATTAGTCACATGGCACAAAAGGCAGTTTTATATACACATTAATGAGTTAGTAAATGTCTTGGGTGTTGCTTAAGTCTAAGGGCCGATCTACACTGGCCCAACAAACCAAGGCTGGTCTGGTGTGGCATATGTGAGATTGTCTCTGGGATAGATCAGACAGGCACTCTCCCAATGTCTCCCTCCACCCTGCCCCGATTACCCTGTCCAATGTCACTGCAGGTAACAGCTGATAGGCAAGGCCTGTGTTGTGGCTGGATACCACCACAACAGGAAGAACCAAAGGGATGGTAACTGCCACCTTGTGTCCCCAGGCTGCCTGAGCCCAGGAAACATGGGATGGAAGTGAGAAGTTGTGTTCTGCTCTATTTTGGAACTGGCCAAATAATTCAAATGGGGCCAAAGTCAAAGGACAGTCCGAATTCTGGTTCAGAATTTAGACTATACCCCAACTTTGGTTAATGCAGGCAAACCGCTATTAAGGTGGCCTTTGCTCCGCATTACCCTAGATCGGTTCTGTGCAGACTTTGGCCCATCTGGCCTAAATGGTCAGAGTAGATCTGCCCAAAGTTGGTGATCCAAGAATTCCTGAAAATATATTAAATGAAATAAGATCACTAGTTGTAGCATTTCTTCTATGCCTTTAAGATACTATGTTGATAGTGTTTTGTTTTTTTTTTACATATGTCCTTGTTAATGTTGAGGTAGGTAAATATGACTATTAACAATGCATTATCATAGTTTTTGGAATAGTTTGAAGAAGTATACCAGACATGCAAAGCTAATCATGGCTGCTCTCTCCATATTGCTCAGAGACAGACATATAACAATCTCAGAATAGACTCTTATTGAGACAACAAATCTAGTTCAATATGTTCTTCATGGCCTTTGTTACTCACATAAATGGGCTTTGTGTCTGCAAAGAGACCCCATTCAGAAACTTCTAGAGTGGGCTAGCATAACGGAAAACCCATGACTCTGACATACCATCTTCCAAGCTACTATCCCTTCATTTTCTCTCCATATTTTGGCAGAGTAACACTGGTTCCTTCTCCTCTGAGTTGAGTATTTTGCCTCTCTTTGCTTTCTATTATGCTTTTTCTGTTTCTTTTTCATTTTTCCTCTTCTTCCCCTCTTTGTCAGTTTTATGACTATTCTCTTTAAACTCCTTAATTTGTGTAAACAAAAGGTTTCACTCTTTGATGGGCATTCCCTGTTTAATTTGTCTGGGAGAGGAACATATTTTATTGCATTGTAGCACCTATAAAGAGTTTATTACTCAAGCCCTTAAAATAGAGCTTACTGTCTGAAGGTATACTATTGGGAGAGATTCCTTCAAGTGTCTGAGGACTGCCTTGAACATGTCTTTGGATACGACCACCATTTTGCTTTTTAAACCATGTAAAATGAAGACACTCTTGGTACCGACAATATCAATCTCATTTGGTTCTTCTTTCCTGCTTCGGTCCTGACTATCATGTTGGTTTCAATTACTATTTTTAATCCCATGGCTTCTTTTACCTCTTCTACTGCCATTGTTCCAGCACAAGTGGATGTCTATTTGGTATCAAAAAGCAAAGAAGGCAAGACGTCTGTTTGTAAGAGACCACCTATGCCAGGACTACCAAGATCAACAGCACAACCCAGCTCAGAGGAAGCAGGTGGTCAAACATTCTAGTCACAAATCAACTGCATCAATTCCTTCATCTTCTTTGACTACTCTGCCTTCTGCTGTATCCTGGATGAATATACTGTTTGTAGAGTCTCCAATACCAGTGCATATCCTAGTTTTCAGATGATCTCATTTAGTTCTCCTCTCCTTTTTCTGTCTTGAAATTGCGCACTACTACTGCATCACCCTGAAGCTCCCCAAGCACCCAATTCAATAGTGGCTCTCCAGGGAAGCATCAAATTGGCAATCAACACATGCTAAATAACTAGCTCTTGGTTCAATGAATAATTCAAACGGCAACTCTAAGACCAAATAATTTGCAGAATACACCTTGGATGTATTCATATCCAGCATGCACAGTCTGTCAGTTTGGTCTAACGCCAATGGAAAATCATTGCATTTTCACTGTTCTTGATATCATCAAAATAAAGGAGAAGAAAAGTGTAGTATGGATTGTAAGTGGGAGAAAAGCAATACCATGAAATGCTTGCATCTGAAACATTTTAGCAACATTTCTGTTTAGAAGTTTCTGAAAATTGATGTCAATCCACTCTTCGATAGGTTATACAAAATGTCATACTTCTACAACAAATCACCTTGATTTTATGAAAAGAATGTCAGACTCTGTAGTTGAGTACGCAAATAGGTGTTTAACTATACAGCTTCCACCAAGGTCATGTAAACAGATATTTGAAGAGTAACATCCACACAGCCAACATCATTCTTTAGGACTGCAAGAAATTTTTATAGCAACTTCACTAGCTGAGACTATCCATCACTGTCTTTATTCACATTAACTTGGTCTGTTCCAAGAACAAAATATTAAGCTTGAGACAATATGGCAATGCGTGAGAGAACGGTCTCATTGTCATAACATGGTGGTTCCATGTTAAGATGTTCTGGTGTGCACTAATAACACTCAATGGAGCCCCCAGTGGCGCAATGGGTTAAATCCTTGTATGGGCAGGACTGCTGACCAACAGGTTAGTTGTTTGAATCCAGGGAAAGGGGGTTGAGCTCCCTCTGTCAGCTCCAGCTCCCTATGCGGGGACATGAGAGAAGCCTCCTACAAGGAGGGTAAAACATCAAAAACCATCTGGCCATCTCCTGGGCAATGTCCTTGCAGACGGCCAATTCTCTCACACCAGAAGCAACTTGCAGTTTCTCAATTCAGAAGCCAGAGGATCTAAGACAGATTTTTTTCCAAACGGGTAATATCGTATATTCCGGTGTACAACACGACTGGGGCTATAAGACGACCCCCTAACTTTAACAAACAAAATAGAGAGTCGGGGATATACTCACCATTTAAGATGACTTGCCAAACCAGGTGCTTCTTGTGAGGCCTGGCCAGGAAGAAGGAGAGCGGCCTGATCAGAAGGGCCTCTGGTGCTGCTCAGGCCGCTCTCCTTCTTCCTGGCCAGGCCTCGCGCAAAGCGCCTCTTCTTCCACGAGACGTTGTCTTGCGGGGGAAGCGCTTTCCACGAGGCCTGGCCAAGAAGGAGAGTGGCCTGAGCAGCACGGGAAGCAGCTCAGGGGCCCGGCCGCCAACAAAGGAGAGGCCTGGACCTGAGCAAGGAAGGCAGCCAGGAAGGGAGGAAGGACGGGGAGCCTGCCCGGGTGGCCGCCACGCGCCAAGGCAGAGGAGGAGGAGGAGGAGGAGGGGAGCCCGAGGCCAAAGCAGCCATAGTATGTAATTTTATTATTATTTTAATTTTATACCTGGCATACTAGATGACCCCCAAAATGTTATAAGGTTTTAAATGCCAAAAAGTCATCTAGTACCCTGGAATATACAGCAGTTACACATCCCATTTTTGGTTTAAAAAAATGATAAAAGAGTTATTATTATCCGGTGAATACGGTACTTAATTACTTTGCTGTATATATTGGACCAAGACTTATTAAATCTAGTATTCGCCATGACAATCAAAATGGGAAGCTGGGGTTAATTTTAGCAGGAAGTAACATATGTTCTTCTAATCAGGAGAATTTCAAATATTACAGAAAGATTACAACACTGTGGTGTGATTTTACCTGATAACAACTTCGTCAGTAGAGTTCAATTCCACCACCAATACAGATGGCGATGTTTCTTCTGGGATGATTAAAGGTGGTACAGTTATATTCTCTTCTTGGGGTTCCTGAACCACCTCCGTGGGCTGCTGCTCAACTGGTCTCCGTAAACTTTCAGGTATTTTGCCAGTAACGTTAAGATTTTCATCAACTCGCTCTTTTGACTTTGCATAGAGGATGGCCTTTGTGTGGTCTCCAGATATGTAATCTACTGTACATATATCTGAGAGTGAGTCCAGATTGTTTAGGAAATCTTGAGGCAACGTAGTTTTGTATGTATCTTCATACATCTTTGGGAGAGCTTTGGCCCAAAGACCACTGGAATACTTTATCAAAATGGTGGCAATCTGTTCTTTGAAGTCCCCCTGGAGTACAATTGCTTTGGTCTCTTCTGTTTCCTTTAACACTGGTGGTTGAGGTCTTCCTTCTGGGCTGGAAACACTCTTTTCTGAACGAGTTGTTTTTCCAACAGGGTAAAGAAGTATATCCTTGTGGCTACCAGAACATATCTTTTCTGCCTTTGAGAGAAAAAGAGATGCTATTTAAAAAAAGCCAGATAACGTAACCAAAGCATTCAGACAATTTGAAGCTGGTTTCCATCTGTATCCACTTTGTACAGTTCATACAGTTATAACAGTCCATTTTTCCATAACATGTTTTCCTTTATCATGTTAAATCACATAACTTTACTCCTTTCTACATGCAAGACACTCTTCCTAGTAAAATGAATACACATATTTGATTATTTATTCCAATAATGTTTACTAATGATGATTTTCAATTCAATAAAGAATTTCATAACTCAAAACTATTAATATATAGAACAAATCTACAGAACCTATCTTAAGCAAGCCCCCACATTGTTTCCCTTCTGTAAAGACCTGGTTGTTCAAACAAGTTTTTGAGAACATCTAGTCTCTAGTTTTGAGAATGTCTGGTCTCTAGGGAGCCCCCAGCAGCGCAATGGGTTAAACCGCTGAGCTGCCCAGCTTGTTGACCGAAAGGTCACAGGTTCAAATTCAGGGAGCGGCATGAGCTTCTGCTGTCAGCCCCAGCTTCTGCCAACCTAGAAGTTTGAAAACATGCAAATGTGAGTAGATCAATAGGTACTGCTCCGGCGGGAAGGTAACGGTGCTCCATGTAGTCATGCTGGCCACATGACCTTGGAGGTGTCTATGGACAATGTTGGCTCTTCTGCTTAGAAATGGAGATGAGCACCAACCCCCCAGAGTCAGACACGACTGGACTGAATGTCAGGGGACAACCTTTATCTAGACTAGTTGTTTTACACAATTGTAATGTTGTCTTACACTACATCCCATCCTCACGTTCCATGGCTGCACCTTTGCACTTATCCCATTCATTCCCTTGCCCATTGTTTACAGCCTGGCCATGTTTACAGTAGCTTACCACCAGATGAGTGATGTTATAATTGAATTTTAATTGTTGTTTTATATGCCTATTTGTTTTATTTAATTGCATTTTATATTGTGCTTATTTTATGCTCCATTTCTAGACACTTTTGTGCTGTGTGTAAGCCGCCCTGAGTCCCTTCGGGGAGACGATGGCAGGATACAAGAATAAAGTTGTTGTTGTTATTAGTTTTTCGTAACTCGTGGACTGCCTGCATTAGCTTTGGATAGCACAGGGAAGGGTTAATACCCCTGTGATGTTTGTTTTCCAATCTGTGCCCTTGTTCAGAAGATTTCACCCCACCTTCTGTCCCTATAGTAATTAGATTTTGAAAAATTGGCTTGTTGTGGAACCAGGGATTGGTGATAAAGCTTCAACGGAGATACTTTTTCCCTGTGATAACTCTTTCAGGAGTGAATTTTCCCTCCTGGGGTTAGATTTCCTGTTATCTCACCCCCGTTTGTAAGTCAGATGCTTGTTCCTCTTGCTGTTCATGTGCCCTCTCTGCTCTCCACACAGCAACCCAGCTGGTTTGATATACGGAGAGCAGAGAGGGTACGTGCATGGTGAGAAAGGGAGGCTTGTGCACAGCCTCTGCATGGCACACACCTTCATTTCTCTTCCTCTCGCCATGCATGCACCCTCTCTGCTCTCTGCACAACAATCCAGCTGGAGGGAGCGTGCACAACGATGGGGGGGGGAGGCATGCACCTCCCTCGCTGCTCTTGTCGCATGCGTGCGAGCCTCCCTTTCTCCTTCATTTTCTGCATATGCGGTAATTTTTCCAAACATAGGTGGCTTTTATACTACGTGGGGCGAGATGAGAAATACGTATCAAAGGAGCTGCAGAGCTGGTAATTGCTTGGAAAGACACCCAACACCAGAGAAAAGGTAACTGAGAGAGGAGGGATGGCTGCCTTTCTTTCATAATAATAATAATAATAATAATAATAATAATAATAATAATAATAATAATAATTTATTTATACTCCACCTCCATCTTCCCAAGGGGACTCGGGGCAGCTAACATGAGGCCAAACCCAACAAATTACAACAAAGCAAAAGAATACAACATAAAATCATAAGATAATATATAAAATAAAATAAATCAAAAGAAGATAATACAAAAGAAACACAAAGTATAACATAAATAACAAAACACTGAAGCAAGTGGGCAGGGCCAAATACAACGGATAGGATTTTTAAAACCCTGGGTGAGATGGATGAGTAGGGTAAAGTATCTAATGGGAGATTCGGATGGGACACATAATGGGATTTAATTCACTGAAGGGTGAGAGTTGGTTAAGGTAAGAGACTTGTTGTTTCATCAGTTTATTTTAATTTTTGAAATTTACCATAACTGCTGCATTTCCTATGCTTGGCTTATACTTAATTCAATAAGTTTTCCCAGTTTTTGTGTGGTAAAATTAGGTGTCTTGGCTTATATTCGGGTTGGCTTATACTCAAGTTTATATGGTACTGTTTTACAATCATAGAATTGGAAAAGACAACAAGGGCTATTCAGTTCAACTGTCTGTATGTCTCATCTTTAACCTCAACATGTTTATAGTAAATTCTAATTATAGTGGTATATCAGATTTTATAAGGTATTTACTATAATGTAATAAAATTAAATGCAACTAAAGCACAATATCAAAAAGACATCTAAGACTTTAAATTAAAGAATGTTAATCACTCAGATTCATTTGATACTTACCACACAAACATGAGGCCAAAATTCCAACTGTGGGATCAGAGCGGGATTCAAGTCTTCCTTGTATGTTTCTTTATACAAGTGTGGTATCTTTGACAGGAATATTCCATTACTGAAATGATTTATGATCTCTTTAATTCTTTTCTGAATTTCATTTATTTCAGCATACGAAGGACAAGGAGGGGTTGGATGCGTTGGCTGTCTTGTCTCTTTCACATTTTCTGAAAAATTAAGCACACACTCTTAAAGACACTATTTATCATTTCTAAAAAAAACTAAAGATTGTTACACTCCAAAACTGGGAAATATTGTGCAAATAACCTTTCCTTGCATTGGTGCTGATGGTAGAGGTGCTGGAATCTTCAAACTCAGAAAATCCAATCTGCTTTTCAAAATATTTTAAGTATTAACCATACAAAAATATTCAAAGAACCAAAAGAGAGGAATATTTTGTGTCTTATCAAGGTATAGAATTGCAATTACACCTTATATGAGGGTGAGTAATTGCACCAAGCCCCAAGGGCCAATTTTCTACCTCTTGGACTTTCCAGAGACTGCATGGATAATCAAAAAAAGGGCAGAGAAGTTATCTTCTGACTTTGAATGTGAGTGTATATGTATTTTTAATGTTAAACAGTGCAATTTGTTAATAAGATTTATTTTATTTTGGGAGGTTTTGCAGTTCAACAAACTTTTTCCATGTTGCCATAACAGAACCAGTTAGTAAAGGTAAAGCTTTCCCCTGACATTAAGACTAGACGTGTCTGACTCTAGGGAGTGGTGCTCATTTCAATTTCTAAGCCGAAGAACCAGCACTATCTGTAGACACCTCCAAGGTCATGTGGCCACCATGATTGCATGGAGCGCCATTACCTTTCTGCTGATTTACTCACATTTGCATGTTTTCGAGCTGCTAGGTTCACATAAGCTGGGGCTAACAGTGGGAGCTCACCCCACTAGTCAGATTCAAACCACCAACCTTTTGGTCAGCAAGTTCAGCAGCTCAGTGATTTAACTCACTGCACCACAGGGGGCTCCTGAACTAATTAGGGAATGACATTTATAACCCAGGAACAAAAATTGTATTACAAAGTGAATGAATGAGTCCCTTTCTGGATCTTTATTGGGTCCCTTTCAAAACTGGTTTACTGGATGTTTAATATATATAAAAAAAGAGAGTTTTCACAATTGCTACTACTATGACTTCTCAGGGAACGAAGAAGAGGCACACACAGCTCCATCATGCCTATACCCAGAAGGAAATAAATAGCACTCCCATCCATCCCAACTGCCTCTGGCCTTAGTGGAAGAGAAGAGGCAGTCACTGTTGGATTTAATCCCCTTTCCCATTGCAATTACCTTTCCTTTGTGTTCTGTCTTACTTAGATTGTAAATTTGAGGGAACTGTCAGATTATCAACTGCATATGATTCTGCTACAGTATCAATGGTGGAAACGAATTCACAACAGGATAGCAAAAGATATAGCAGACAAGCCATTCAATTTGTGGACCAGTAACATACCATTCAAGTCCACAGGCAATTTTTTTGACAGATGAACTTGAAGCTCTTTCTGAAATTTTGGTGTAACCACTAATCTTTTCTCAGGCCTGAAAAACAGCAAATCAAAACACACTTTATCATTGGATTTCTGTATCTAAGTATCACAAGCTAACAGACAGAAGGAAAGACTAATGTTCTCTCTACACCTATATCTTCTACCTGTATCAATCACGTTAATGAGCAGCCATCTCATTACACAAGAAAGAACTGTTTTATTCTATGCAAAGTTAAATGGTGGTCCTTACAGGTTTGAAACTAGGCCTGAGGACAAACTCTTTCTTAAGCAAGATTCAGAATTGACCCCCCCCCACACAAATTAGAATATTTGTAAAAAAATAATAATAATGACAGAACAACACTCTTAGAACATGACAAGTTTCAACATGACAATATACTATATTTGACAGATGTTTACTCTTTCTTTTTCAGGCAAGGTGCTCAAAAAAGATAGTTGCTCTCCAACTCCAGGTAGTCTTGGATGACACACTCTTCCTTGACCCATTTCTAACCTGTTTCAGAATATGATGTAGAGTTGAGACTGTTATGGTCACCTTAATTGATAAGCTCCATTTTAACACTGACAGGGGGAGTGTGTTCCTGTTAGTGCTCCTAGATCTCGAAACAACATTTGATACCATTGACCATGGTATCCTTCTGCAATGCCTGGGAGTTTGGGAATTAGATACACAGTGGTGCACTGATTCCGATCAAATCTCTCGGGCAGGTTCTAGATGGTGGTGCTTGAGGATGGCTGCTATTTTTAAAAATGAGCTGTTATTTGGCATCCCACAAGGGGCAATTTTATCCCCAATGCTTTTAAACATTTATATGAAACTGTTGGGAGCGAGATCACCCAGAGATATGGGTGGAGTGCTATGAATACATTAGCTACAACTTGCACTATTCCATCCCGTTGTTCTTGCTTAAAGTTGGTCATGTTTTATGACAGTTCTCACCATAGATTATTGGGCACTGTTCTGAGTTTAAATTATTGTTTTATATGCTATTGATTTTATTTTGTATTGTATTGTGTGTTTATTTTATGCGTAGTTTTAGGCACATTGTGCCATATGTAAGCCGCCCCGAGTCCCTTCAGGGAGATGGAGGTGGGGTACAAAAATAAAATTCATCCTTCCAAATGTCAGCCCAGATAGATGTGACAGTCAGGAGGGCTTACTACCAGATTTGGCTATGCTAGTTGCTAGAATTGGAAGACCTAAAGACAGCAGTGCTTTCGCTGGTAACCTCAAGGTTGGGCCTCTGCAACGTTCTGTAAACTGTACCTCTGTACCAAGTTCAGAAACTCAAATTAGTTGAAAACATGGCAGCCAGATTGGTTACAGGTATATGTAGGAGTGATCATATTAGGTCTATACTAAAATCACTCCACAGGTTTCCAATTAGTTTCTGGGCAAAATACGAAGTCTGAAGATGCCAGCCACAGATGTAGGCAAAACATCAGGGGAAAATGCTGCTAGAATTTATTGTTTAGTTAATGTTTTAATTGTGATTTTCTTGCTATTGTTTTTGTGACATCTGATGAGTGCCTATTGTAAGCTGCTCTGAGTCCCCCTTCGGGGGTGAGAAGGGCAGGATATAAATGTCCAAAATCTATATAAATAAAAATGTAATGTTTGTTTGTGGGATTAACATAGCTCAATAATCACTGGACGAATTGACACCAAATTTGGACACAATACACCTATCAGGACAAAAAGTGACCATTACTCATAAAACACTGAAAAACACAGTGGAAGAGACTTAAAAAGCCAAAAAATAAGAAATACATTACAACGCATGTGTAAAACCATATATACACACACATACACATATATACACGCACAAAACACATATACATAGACTGGGCCACAGCAACGTATGGCAGAGGATGGCTAGTAAATAATAAATAAATAATAGAACACAGCCATTTGGCCTGGAAACCACTCAACACTCCTTTGAAGTGTTGGTTCTGTCCTTTAAAGCCCTGGTTGTTTTGGGTACAGATTACCTACAGAATCACCTTCTCCCATATAATCTCCCTCATACACTTAGTTCCTCTGGTGGAGACTTACTTCAATGAGCCAGAACCTGAGGAGCAACTGTTGCCCAGAGAACCTTTCCATTGGACACAACAAGACTGTGGAATGAAGAGCTGGAAGAGCTCTGAAAGCTAAATAGGCTGTCGGAATTTAAAAGACAATTAAAAACCTTGACAGGCCTACCCAGTCAATTTTAAACTATACATTTTAAATTTACATCTTTGTTCTATGTACATAATATATGTATTTTATGGTCCTTTTATATCTATGGATTTTAAATATGTTGTACCCTCCCCTCGAGCCGTAAAGAGAGGTAGGGTATCGAAATCATCATTTCTCTACATAACTTTCCTCAAGTTTGTTCTTTTAGATTAGGTTTTCCTGCAACAGATTCATAGTGGTTCTATCACTCACTCATTCCACCTGGATAGTTAAACACACACTCACGTTTCTCCCAATAAAACCAGCAAGATCAAATTCCGGGATGTGGCCAACATTCTTTAATCTGGTGAATTCCATCTCATTCCAGAATTTGTGCAAAATGACTATGCACAAATGTTTGTGTACTATATCTATACAAGCAGCTTACCCTTCAAACAAAATGGAAATCACCACCAGATGGCCCTATTTTAGAGAAATTACTTATTGATTACAGATTGAGTATTCTTTATTCACAATGTTGGGGAACACAAGTATTATGGGTTTCAGACTTTTTTCAGATTCTGGAGTACTTATATTTGCAAATATATATACATGAGATACTTTGGAAATAGGACCCAAGCCTAAACATGAAATTCATTTCTGCTTCATATATATTGTACACAATTAGACTGAATGTCCTTTCGGGGAGTGAGGGCAGGTTAAAAATAAACATTTATTATTATTATTCATTTTGTACAAGATTATTAATTTTTGTACATGAAATAAAATTTGTGTACTCAAAGAGACAAGGTACCATTGCCGCAGACCAGTATGCGGAAAATTTTGGAGTTTACTGAATTTTACCAATTCTGGATAAGCAATGTGCAAACTGTATTCCTATGACCAACCAAAACATGTTACTGAACAGTCCAGAGCTTGGAAGTAATGAGAACTGACAGAGGATCTCTCAAATACCCACAGCTAACATCTGTCAATATTGTGTGGATGGAAGCAATGATAACACTTCTTTTGAAAGTATTTTACAATGAAAACTCAATGATGAAACAATCCAAAACAAAACAAGAGATAGTTTCAGAAGATGACACTCTCAGGCTCCATCTACACCAGTGTTTCTCAACCTGTGGGTCCTCATATGTTTTGGCCTACAACTCCCAGAAATCCCAGCCAATTTACTAGCTGCTAGGATTTCTGGGAGTTGAAGGCCAAGACATCTGGGGACCCACAGGCTGAGAGCCACTGATTCTACATTGTCATACAATCCAGTTTCGAAATCCAAATTATCTGCTTTGAAGTGGATTATATGGCAGTGTAGACTCATATAATTCAGTTCAAAAATACTATCTGGATTCAAAAACTGGATTTTTTTTGTCGTGTCAGGAGCGACTTGAGAAACTGCAAGTCGTTTCTGGTGTGAGAGAATTGGCCGTCTGCAAGGACGTTGCCCAGGGGATGCCTAGATGATTTGATGTTTTTATCATCCTTGTGGGAGGCTTCTCTCATGTCCCCGCATGAGGAGCTGGAGCTGATAGAGGGAGCTCATCCGCCTCTCCCCGGATTTGAACCTGCGACCTGTTGGGTCTTCAGTCCTGCCGGCACAGGGGTTTAACCCACTGTGCCACTAGCAGTATAGATCCAGCCTCAGTTTGGATGGCACTCAAGAAGCCACCGGTGAAGAGCAGAGGACAACTACGAGTAGCACTGTAGCTAAGCTGATTGGAGTTAGCTTGCAGCAGTTAACAGCAATAAAGTTGTGTATACATTAATGTTTTTTTACTGTGTTGGATTTTTTTTCCATTGGCTTTCCACGAAGTGGATTTCTAACATTTAAAAGGCATTTCCCAGGATGATGCTAATATTGTCTTGTTTGTAAATGCTGCTTTCCCTCATAGCTTGCGTGGTAAATATGTTTTTGAGGCCTTAGCTACACAATGGGGGGATTACCAAGGCAATCTGCACTAGTCTGATAATGTCCTTGCTGGTCTATCATTGTGCCTGGACTTATCCTGCATCATAATTTGATGATCCAAAACAGCAGCAAACAATACAGGGAGAAGTGATGGCGCAGCAACTAAGCTTGCCAAGTTGGATTTTAGTCAAAGGCTAATGGGGAGAGGGGGGAGGCCGGGGATCTAGCAGAATACTAGATCAGCAGAATACCAGCATCAAATTCATTCACTTTCATTTTATGTTTTATAGTCAAATACAGAGATACAATTTTGGCCAATTTTAAAGACATGTTATTGCCAACATCTGAACTTTGCTTATGTTCCATTTTGTAAAGATGTTTTACAGGCTCTTTCACGGATACACAATTATCTAAAACACTGAATGCCTGAACACAGCAAGAGAGAAATTAGCAAAGCTATGTATGATCTGCTATGGCTAGCGAAATTACCAACATCGCTAAGCATTTTCTGCAGTGAACACAAGTGATGTGATTGCAATACTGAACATAAAAGGATGGATATTCTGCTGTCTTTCCAGCCACACATAGGGTCATCCATGGGTGGGGCCCTCACTCAAACAGCTTTGCCCAGCTCTGGGCATTTTTGACTCAATCTGTACAGGCACAGAAACTATATATGTATATGTATTCGTGGCATTGAATTGTTGCTGTAAGTCCCCTTCTGGGTGATAGATAGATATACACATACACAAGTGTGATGGATATATATATATATTCACACACACACATATATGGGAGGATGAAAAAGAGCAGATTACTGCAACGCACTCTACATGGGGTTGCCTTTGAAGACTGCTCGGAAGCTTCAAATAGTCCAACGAGAGGCAGCCAAATTAATAACTGGGGCGGCATACAGGGAGCATACAACTCCCATGTTATG